CCTTCGAGAATGTCATACAAAATTATGAATATCTTATGTCATGTGAGCTGACTGCCTTCATTTTTTTTTTTTTTTTTAGGAAAAAAAAAACATGTACAGTAAAATAACTTGACATTTGACATGGGTGTAGTCTGGGTCATCCTGACTGGAAGTTGCAGGTAACCTGTGAAGGAAACCTTTTCTAAACAGGTCAATGGTGATTAATTTATATTTTAACTTCGGAGCTCCCTTTTTTAAATACAAAACAGTAGAGAAGAAAAAATATATAGTTTTATTGTCAATGGACTTCATATAGCCTGATGTGCAATATAATGTCGTCTTTACTTGGTATATCAAATGTGAGAAATTGTTGCAGAAATACAGATCGTCCCTTCGTCCTTTTTGACCGTTCCAAGCTCCCGTACCGTAACACCACAAATAGACGAGCATCAAAATCCAAGAGGCTGATTGACCGCTCTTGAGTGCGGCGAACATTTCGATAGTAGACGTAGACTAAGCCAAAGGATCGAACACACCTAAACACTACTTCCTGAAACCTACAGCTGTTCGTATAGTCCTGAAAACACATGTACAGTAGATGGTGGTCGGCACGCCCCCAGTGTACTGACGCAAACAGTGTACTGCTTTGTATGGGGGCAACTAAAAGAATGCCCTACCTAAAAGCAATATTAGTTTAAGTGTTAGCTATATAAAAAAAATATTTTCACTGCTTTACCTTGCCGTCTGACACCCCTTTCATTTGGCACTATATTTTCTCAACCGTAGAACTACCGTAGTCCTACGCATGAGCGCAACTGTGCCACGCACTGTATTACGCCGCAGCCCAACTGTCTGGGTCAGGTACTTCAAGAAGTGCAGTTGCGCAATCAGACCGAAATCCAAATTCACTCTTGTAAATGTCTAAAAAGATGGTGCGTCCTTGCGTTTTTCCGGGCTGCTCCAACAAAGAAGTGTCCTGGTCACCATATCGATTTCACCGGGTTCCGCTGCATGAGATTGGCCTTAAAAAGCAGTGGCTAGTTACACTGAAGATAGACAGCGTCACTCCGCTGGCAAAATTGAAACAACTCCGCGTTTGCAGTGATCATTTCTCCGAAGAGGATTATTTGAGACCACGGCCAAATAAGCTAGATAGACACTTGCTGAAACGCACCGCTGTACCCAACCACCAGGTAAGATAGCGCTGAATACCAACATATACCAACCCATGACAGAAATGCTTATGCTTTATTTCGGTTTCATTAAGAATATACCATTGCAGCATACCTTTTAACTAAATATTTACCGTATATGATGTATAGGCAACTCGTCTTTTTTTGGTTTGTGTTTATGATTGGGATGTAGGCCTACATGCTGTTTAAAAGAAATGCATATAACGACTTAGGCTCATTCATGATTTGTATGTGCACAGGCATGTACTTCACAAAGCACAATACAAGAGAAACACGAGCAGCAAATGCTTTCTGGCGTCCCAGAATCCACTCCGAAGGAGCCGCCAGTAAAGAGCCACCAGGCCTCCAAATTAGCATCACAGCTGAAGCTTGAACGGTCTCCCCCCAGAGAACCACCATCAACCTCTGGAGCTCACCCTGCTATTGAGTCAGAGGTAAGCTGATGGCTGCTGTCTGCAGTTCATTGCTACTTCACCAAAACGTATGAAAGTGTTACATAATGAGGTGTAATGTTTTGTAGTATTTCAACTTATTCTCAAGTTATCTTGTACATATTCTGACCATTGTGAGTACACACTAGTTTGTGGCATTCTTTCCAACAATTAGTCCATATTCACACATGATAAATAATAATAAACTTCTGCTGTCTAATAATCAGTCATTATGCAATGACATGTAGTGAGAGACACAACCTTGCTGTGAAGACACATTGTCATTAGGTCCTTCTGGTCTGGGACGTTTTTTTAATCATTTATCTTCGGAAAATGGTCTGCAAGACACCGGTGCTCAGTAAGAGGAACTCTGCACAGTTTGTGATGCAGACTGTATGTGAGGCACTGGCATCCTCTGATTCAGAAAGATCCTAAAATTGTGTCATAACCGAGTCCTACTCATAGCAGCAGTAGCTCTATAGGTCCACATCTGCACCACCACATAGCTTGTGCTCTTTCTTGGCTTCCACAGACGTTTCCTCTCTTTCAGCCCCGTTTAGTCTCCCTCTGCAAAACGTCTTCCTCTGTATACTCTGGTTCATAAAGGTATCCTCTTGTCTCCACAGTGAACGGCATCTTTTCGTTGTTGTCATAAGCATGAATTGTTTATTTTATTTATTCCATAAACTCAGACCTCTTCTCCACGAAGGTCTGACCCATACAGCTGATCTGCCGAGTAATAAAACAACTTAAAAAGTACAGCGGACAGCACATTGGACAGCACAGTGGCATTTATGCGTAGGAATATGGAAGTTCTACATTTGAGGAAATGTAGTGCCAAAGGAAAGAGCTGTCTGATGGTAAAGAAAAGCAGTGAAAATATTCTAAATATGGCGTACACCTAAACCGATGTTGATCTTTTTAGGTGGGAATTTATTGTAGTTGGCTGAATTACGTTGCTGCCCCCGTCCAAAGCAGTACATTGCTCAGCTTCCATGTTACTCCTGTCCGTTTGTCCTGTTTGTAATACATTGACTATGGATAAATCATACAACCTCACTTCAGAGAATCAAATCAATGCCTTGAAGATAAAACGTGTGGGTATGCAGTGTTAGAGGGAAAAGTTACATACTAGAAATATAATGGTTGCCCTGAGGAATGTGGCAGATATTTTGCTTCCATGCCATACTACTTTCTGTTTGTAACAGCAAAATATTTTTGTATACAACCAGTTGTTTGAAGTGCGTCTGTTTTGTGTGGTATTTTACAGCTGCATGACACCAGGGCAGTAATTGACAGACCACCAGGCCAGGTCACAAGCACAGGTGAGCCAGTGAATGATCTTCACCATCTATTGTGGTTAGGAGGTGCATGTGTGATGAATAAATAATACTAAAGGTTCTCTTGTAGCGACAGCTTATTACGGTGATGTGTGGCTGCTGTGATGTTCACGGGGGACCCCGTTGATGCAATGCAGACGATGAGCAGTTAACATGTCTTAAGATGTGTGGCAGAGACAGGTATTCATAGAAGAACATCTGCATTTATTTATAGCAAACTGACGGTCTGTGCACAGTGTCTTGTATAGAAAACACTATTGAATGTGTAGACTAAGCCCTTCATGAGCATACTTCATGTCATACAGCAGACCATTCACTCGAAGCAGCAATACATGAACGTTGAGGATTAGTCAAAAAGAAGAAGAAGTATTGCTTCATAGGCCCTTAATGGTTTGAATGAAGACTTTTCATTGACATGTTTTTATGAACATCTTTTGCAATTCACAAAGGAAGCGTTTTTGACATCTCACAAAACAGATGTGCCAAAGGACACATCTCCTGCAGTTACCGTGTAGTTTTCTCTCTGTATACTCCTTTAAAACATGTTTGTCCTGTAAGTTTCTGATGTTCCTCAGCCCGGTGAAGTCTGTCAGTCTGCTGTTGATGTAGTAAAAGTTGTCTAATAGAGTCCTCTCTATTATAACTTCTGTATTTTTTTTTGGTTGGTTTTAACTTGAACAAATATAAAGATCCTTTTGACTGATTACCGATTTGAATTCACAGGCATTCAAGTAAATGTACCCGAGACGTGCACTGCCACCATGGAGAAGTAAGTCAACGAATAACTTTGATCATGTTCCCATAATGAGGCGAGTAAACCATGTAGCTTAAAATAAAAGGCAGACAGTTCGGATGCAGTACATCAGGTCAGAGCTTCAGCTTACCCAGTTCAGTTTTTAACGCCTTTTACCACTGTTGCACCTGCAACATCCACAGAGACAACTTGTGCATGTTTCCAGCTGTAGCCGTGCTCCGTACAACAAGTGTGTCATTATCATTTCTCCGCCCTCTCTTCTGCCCCATAACAGACCAACAGTGCAGCACATTGTTGATGAGGAGGCCATCCTGCAGCTGATGAAGAACTGCCCGATGTGCGACAGAAAGTGCCGCTGTACCAAACGCACCTGCGACCCTTACTTCATAGTCTACCAGAGCTGTTACTTCTGCAATTATCAACGCAAGTGGGCCAACCAGCATGAAGCCAGAGATATGAACATCCAAAAGGCAAACACGCCGCCGAAGAAGAAACTTCGGCCAAAGAACAAGGTGTCTGTAAAGGCTGCCAGGACTCAGTCGTCACAGCTTCTTAGTAAGACGAGCACTCCTGAATCCTCGGTCTCAGAGCCCCACTGCTCATTAGAGACCTGAAGTGTGTTGACTCTGTCTTAGATGGGACTGACTTACATGAAACTGGGCACGAATAAACCTAGTTTCAGATGTGCCTTAAGGTGGAGCATTATTATGCAGTTGGAGATGTTTGACGAGGACGAGAAATATTGTAAAGTTTGTCTGTTGAGCTGAAGCTTCAGTCCAAACTAATAACATTTTGTCTGCTAATAAGGAACACAATCAGAGTAAAGCAGTAAGAGAGGCGATAAGCATGGCTTTGCTTGCTGGTAGTGGAAATACGCATTGTATTGTGGAGAAAAATCCTTTTAAATACTAATCATATGTGTACAATAATAATAGAAAGGTCCATGTGGTGTATTAACAAGTCTTGACCTACTTGAAGGAGCTTTCCTGGGGGCCTCCCGCCGTCTCCGTCCTGCTGTTTGTACGTTACGTTGTGAACTACGCTGGGCCTTTGTTCTCGCTGGGGACAGTCTGGGGGCTTCGGAAACATCCCTTAGTATGGCCTCTCTGTACTGGCGCTCCTACAAACACACAGTCACAGACACGCTTAACTGTTAGCAAACTATGTATTATTATATCCCCTTTGACATTTCATATATACAGTGGGTACAGAAAGTATTTAGACCCCTTTAAATTTTTCACTCTTTGTTTCATTGCAGCCATTTGCTAAAATCAAAAAAGTTCATTTTATTTCTCATTAATGTACACTCAGCACCCCATCTTGACAGAAAAAAACAGAAATGTAGAAATTTTTGCAAATTTATTAAAAAAGAAAAACTGAAATATCACATGGTCATAAGTATTCAGACCCTTTGCTCAGTATTGAGTAGAAGCACCCTTTTGAGCTAGTACAGCCATGAGTCTTCTTGGGAATGATGCAACAACCTTTTCACACCTGGATTTGGGGATCCTCTGCCATTCTTCCTTGCAGATCCTCTCCAGTTCCGTCAGGTTGGATGGTGAACGTTGGTGGACAGCCATTTTCAGGTCTCTCCAGAGATGCTCAATTGGGTTTAGGTCAGGGCTCTGGCTGGGCCAGTCAAGAATGGTCACAGAGTTGTTCGGAAGCCACTCCTTTGTTATTTTAGCTGTGTGCTTAGGGTCATTGTCTTGTTGGAAGGTGAACCTTCGGCCCAGTCTGAGGTCTAGAGCACTCTGGAAGAGGTTTTCTTCCAGGATATCTCTGTACTCGGCCGCATTAATCTTTCCTTCAATTGCAACCAGTCGTCCTGTCCCTGCAGCTGAAAAACACCCCCATAGCATGATGCTGCCACCACCATGCTTCACTGTTGGGATTGTATTGGGCAGGTGATGAGCAGTGCCTGGTTTTCTCCACACATACCACTTAGAATTAACGCCAAAAAGTTCAATCTTGGTCTCATCAGACCAGAGCATCTTATTTCTCATAGTCTGTGCGGGCTATGCGGGCTTTCATATGTCTTGCACTGAGGAGAGGCTTCCGTCGGGCCACTCTGCCATAAAGCCCCGACTGGTGGAGGGCTGCAGTGATAGTTGACTTTGTGGAACTTTCTCCCATCTCCCTACTGCATCTCTGGAGCTCAGCCACAGTGATCTTTGGGTTCTTCTTTACCTCTCTCACCAAGGCTCTTCTTCCACGATTGCTCAGTTTGGCTGGACGGCCAGGTCTAGGAAGAGTTCTGGTCGTCCCAAACTTCTTCCATTTAAGGATTATGGAGGCCACTGTGCTCTCAGGAACCTTGAGTGCTGCAGAAATTCTTTTGTAACCTTGGCCAGATCTGTGCCTTGCCACAATTCTGTCTCTGAGCTCCTTGGGCAGTTCCTTCGACCTCATGATTCTCATTTGCTCTGACATGCACTGTGAGCTGTAAGGTCTTATATAGACAGGTGTGTGCCTTTCCTAATCAAGTCCAATCAGTTTAATTAAACACAGCTGGACTCCAATGAAGGAGTAGAACCATCTCAAGGAGGATCAGAAGAAATGGACAGCATGAGAGTTAAATATGAGTGTCACAGCAAAGGGTCTGAATACTTATGACCATGTGATATTTCAGTTTTTCTTTTTTAATAAATTTGCAAAAACTTCTACATTTCTGTTTTTTTCTGTCAAGATGGGGTGCTGAGTGTACATTAATGAGAAATAAAATGAACTTTTTGATTTTAGTAAATGGCTGCAATGAAACAAAGAGTGAAAAATTTAAAGGGGTCTGAATACTTTCCGTACCCACTGTAAGTTTATGCCAACTGTTGGAGGTAAAAATGTTCTCCTTCAGTTTACTCTAGAACACAACAAATGACGTGTTATTTATATTTTTATAGTGAAATGAAAATTGAGGAAACGTTATTTGTGTTTGAATGCATCGTAAAGTCTTTAATGCATTTTATACGATACATTATTCTATCTGAACAAATGTGCTTTCACATATTGATTTTAGTAGTGCAGCAAGTACAAGTGCACATTTTATTTCACGGCTGTGATTTGAACCGTTTGAAAGTCAGGTCACTGTTGCATATCTGCCTGTAGAACACCTCGGTTACAGAAAAATCTGTTAAAGTGATCAATATGATCTTTCTCTTGAGTCACTCATTTCCACATAAGTAAAGAACCAAGCAGCCATAAACTAGCACAGAGCTCGTGGTCACAAACTGAAGCAGTTATTTTAAGCAGAAGTTAAATAGATGGAACACAGTCACAACAGTTAGAACCAATGAAAATCATCCCGACTCATATACTGTCTAAAACCCTATTCGCTCGGGACTACCATTACCCGGGGGGGACTCTAGTAATCTGTAATAATTACGGAGGTCGTCTGTGATCTTATTTACATGCGAGTCTGTCATGTCCATAATTTGTTAAGTGGAAACTTACACTGCAATCTAAATACTATATTTCTCAAAACATAATACTAAATGACTATGATGAAAATAAATGTTTTGATAGCATCTCACTACACGGTATGAAGACCCATTCTCACCGGATCAAGAGGTCTTTGGAATATATTACATGAACATAAATAGGTCTATATAATCATATATTGTTTTTCGCAGATAAGAGGATGTTACACAGAGCCTTGACATCATATCTTGGAGATAATGTCTGTGAATTTGAGTAAAATACAGACTTTGCTTATCCCCTGCAAATGCGCCCCACGAGATAGACTTATGGGGGTGGTATTTAAATCACATGAGGTCACTATTAAGAAAGCCAGTCTTTAAAATCTTGTGATGAGAATTATGTCAATATGAGAAACAGACTAAGCTCTGTAACAACTTAAACAGGGTTGTTCTGTAGAGAAAGGAGGAGGGCTGAGAGTATTTATACGATACTAGACGTCATACTAGTGACTTACGGCTTGTTGAGCCTTGAGGCGTGCCTTCTCTAGATCTGCCCGTTCGTTGTCTTCATATCTTTTCAACTCCTCCTCATAGGCCTCATTCTCCAGATACTGAAAGAGAAAGATTCACTTTTACTTTAAACATAAATGAGATCATGAGTAGAATCATTTAATAACTGAGATTATGATTATTGAGTGATGAAAAAACAAGGAAGCAAATACACAATGTCTTCTTTTTCCTGTTTAAAATATGCAATTTATCAAGCCTAACTTGGTCTTTATTGTCCTTAAATTACAGCTAAAATCCTCCCAGTCAGGCTTCAGTGAAGCATTTTAATCTATTGAGAAGTCTGCAAATTACAGCCAGTTGACATCGTCAGCATGGTGGAACTTATTCTTGAGTTCAACTAAAGTAATATGCTGTAAACTAAACTGTGTCTGCAACGTGCTCCATTAATAAACACGCCTTGCCTATATGGTACATTTAAAGTGGCAGCACTAAGGAAAACAATAGCTAAGGTAATACCTTGCTATGTTTTCTGTGAGACAGTCTGTGGAGTAGCTCTCCTCGCTTTGAATGATCAGAAGCTGCAAGGTTGGTTTGTCTCCCATCATCCAGACTCAAGGCCTCTGCCATGGCATCTTCTAACTGTCCGTGCAGGGAGCGACGGACCCGTGGAGGGGAGGGGGATAAGGAGCGTGTCCGGTGGGTGGATTCGCCGTCAGGGTTTCCTAAAACGAATACATGTTACAATTCAATACATGTACTTTTAGTGTCAACAGCTCTTAAAGGATAATGAATGTGTTAACTGTGTGTTTACCTGTGTGTTGTCTGGGAGTCCTGCCACACTCCATGATGCTGTCACTGTGGTGGGACTGCTTGTCCTCGTCTCTGACTTCACTGGACTCTCCGCTTTCCCCCAGAACTCGTTTGAGCATCTGTAGGAATTACACGTTGCAAACGTAAAAGTGATAATTCACAAATATGTATTTAACCTAAAGCAAACTGCATTGAGCTGACCACAACATACTCCAACCCAACTCCAAACAGAACAGACGCACACTTGCAGAAAGGATCAAAATAGCTTTTGCTTGAAAATATTAATGTAATATGCTGGGACCTTATACAAACTACACACACCTGATCGAGTTCCTCAAGTCGATGGGAAAGGTTTTCAGATAAGTGATGCAGCTCCTCTTCTGCTTGCTTGTTCCTCTGTCTGCGATACGACAGAGGCTCCTCCCTGCTCAGGGAGACGATTACAAAGACACCAGACAGCAGAGATAGTTAAGACAGTCAGAAACATTGTCCCCTCATAAAACAATAATGTCAACGAGGACATGCTATTCCTTAATCTGTAGCTTCCTACTGTTCTCCGGCACTCCACCTGTCTTACCTGAGGCCTGTCCCAACTCTGTGATCTATCCTGCTCTCCAGTTGTTTTAGTGTATAACCTAGATACTCTTCATCTTGCTCTTCCTCCTCGGTGTCTGGCGGAGAAGGGGTTGTGACTGTCCTCCCATCCTGCAGGGTGAGGAAGAGCACATCTGGCTTGGTGCGGAACAAAACCCTCCTGGGTTCCCCATTGGTCGGCTGAAATTCGACAAAAAGTCATTCAAGTTAATTTGGATTATGCTCAGGAAATATTTTCAATAACTCACTTTAGACAGAGCAACCCGGGTTGCTGGAGATAACACAATACTTAAACAATACGGATCCAAACGTGTCTGTGTGGGTTTGAGGTTGCTGTAAAACTGGTACAAGTGAAGGCATGTTACTCTCTTACCTCAAGTGTCTCCCCCTCTACTTCTGTCCCGGCTCTTTGCTGACTGGACAAAGACTTTTCCCTCGCACCTGGAAATTGAGCAAAACACGACATCGAGAACAAAGTCACACTTCACTCTGATGGCCGATTTCCACTTGATAGCAGTCACACAGGCAAAGCAGATTCAATTCAATTTATTTTTGTATAGCCCAAAATCACAAATTTGCCTCAGAGGGCTTTACAGTATGTACACATTTGACATCCTCTTGTCAGATAAACAGTACAATGTGCTAGATGCCCCGGAGATCCACCATGCAGTCATAACTATCAATTCAATCAAGTGCTCGGCTTTACTCCCACAATGTTTGATGTGATTCAAGATATCAAACCGTTTACCCCCTTGACATTTTAAACTGAATAAGAATAAAAGGTACATTTATTTTACTCACATGGAGGCTGGGGAGGAGGAGACTGTAGTCCGTTGGCAACAACTGTCTCAGCTGGCGGATCAGAGGTCTGTGTGAGAAGGAGAAAAGAGCAAGAAATTAATGTCTGTGAAGCTGAGCAGACACCATTACCATTTAACTACAGAGGGACACAGCTTAGTACTGGACATATTGTGCACCTCAATAGAAGGTACATTTTCTAAAATCATCTGTGTCTCTCATGGACCACCAGAGACCAGACACAAGACTTTTAGAACATAATGACACTGGTGACGGGTCAAGTCACTACAAAGGAAGGAGAGGAACATCTTAAAGCCATAACTAAGCTGCGTGCGTAAGTAGCCACGCAATACCAAGCTGTTGTGCATGTCAGGGCCTGCTATTAAGTAAGTGTGCTGAGTCAGTCAGACGGCAGTTCCTGGTTTCAGTAATTCCCTTATGAAACTATAAATATGTGCATGTCTGTACTTTTTCTGTGATGTATTATATTATCTTGAATAAGGTATTGCTTAACCCTTTGAATGATCAGTGGACATATACAAAACAGAACAGCGAGACAGTCTTGCATTGATGTCACTGCAGTAATATATCTATATAATATATTATCTCTAGAACTTTGGGAAGATAAAGTCTGCATGTCCGTTCCCTGCATGCAAATAAGAGGTCAATTGGCCGTAAAAACAATTGAACCTCATCATGCTGAATTTATCAAGGCTACCTCTGTAGTGACAGGAGCGGCTCCCTCCTCTGCCTGCCCTTGGCTGAGGCCAGCAGCTGTTGGCGATTTGCTGGGCGAGTGTGGGTCTGTGTCGGGTTCGCGGGGGGTGTTGCTCTGAGCGGGAGGCTGCAGAGCGATGGCTGAGGACAGCGGTTCAGTCGGTGGAGCGTCCTGGACGTCCAGAGGACCAGAGGTGGTGACTGCGTCTGAGGTTTGGGGAGGGACTGACAGTCATGGCAGATTAATCTTGCGATTTATTGAAAGAGTTACAACAGCTGCAAATTAAAATCTTAATAATGGAGCGCCTTGGTCGTCGAATGGTTACAGCGCATGCAAAATAACGTTAACATTGCCAGTTCGGTTCTGAATTCATCAAAATATGCATTCAATGACTATTTATCACCAAAGATACAAAAATCTTACATTTCTGCATGTTAAAATGTCTATTTTATGAGATTTCCGCATCCAAGCCTTGACTGAGATTGATGAAAATGTAAAATAAATAAATAGTTTAATAATAAATTAATAAAAATACCAATGATACTTGGAGGCAACATGATGTGACAGAGCAAACACATATCTGTAATTATTTTGGTTTATGTAGAGAAGGTTAGGCTGTGGTTTGCAGTGAAGCAACACTACCGGTTAGGTAACTACTGTGACAACTAAACCAACAGCATTAAATCAGTTCATAAAACAATGTGGGCGCTCTCAAATGCCTAAAATAGTTTAAAACAGCAATGCAACGTCATTTGAGAAATCTTCTAGTCAGGGAACATGATTTCCTGACACACCTTATTGTAAAACATCTGGAAATCAAGGGGGAGACAAACCATTGATATGTATGCATATAAGTGGGGTAGAGATGCGTTTGCGTGTCTTACCTTCTAGTTTGGCTATGAATGTGCGTGCTGAGACTCCCAGCCCAATGAGCTCACTAGTTGATCCCATCTCCTCAGCATTCCAGGTATGGAGGGAATCTTTACTGGAATGGACAGCGGACCTGAATGATATGACGAGATATTATTTACCTAAAGTTCACACAAGTACTGTACAATAAATTACGGATGTTTTTCTGTGGTATACTTTCCCTGAATTCATCAAACGACAAACTGATTTAAACTCTCGAACTGACAGATTTTTTTATTTTAAAGGAGTCAATGAGTACTCAGCACCAAAGACATTAAAATCATTAGTTTTGCATGGTAAAATACGAGTTTTCCAGATCCACGCCTTGTCTTAAATTGGGTCATAGCATTCCTGATTCCAGCGCTGTCATTTGACGTTGCAGTGACATAGCTGATGGCAAGGAAGAACCACAGAATAGTTCAGCTTGTATTTCTCTGGGTAGTCAGGTGGCATGCTTAACAGAACTACCTTGTTCTCTTGTGTTGCACCAACTCGTTACGTTTCCAACAGAGGAAATTGCATCGCAAAATATGAGTGTAGAGGATGTTATGGATGAGGATACATTTTACAGAGTGAGAACTCCACTTTATCTGTAAATACAGCAGGCACTGAGGAACTTATTGCTTCAATGGAATACATTATCCCTTTAATATTTATACTACTGCTGAAGGTTTGCCTAACTGGCTGTTGTGTCAACAGGATGTACAGGCCGGATACGCCCTGAAGCTGAATGATATGGTCGCACTCACGTGGAACAAATGGGCCTGTGAGCAATATTTACTTAACTCCAATGCAACTCATCTTAGTGTTTGGTGAGTATGTGTAGCAGAATATCTTACTCTCCACTGGAAGACAAAGATCCTCCATCCAGTTTAGTCTCCTGCTGTGTGGCATTGCAGCTTGTGGGCTCCTTGGTTTCATCCGGCACATCTTCACTCACACTGTCATTCACTTCTTCTGAAAGAAAAGATGAACAAATGACCACGAGGGAGAGAGAAAACAAAAAAAATGTATATGTAGAAAAAAAACACAAAGAGAAAGCAATACTTGTGATCACGACACGTAATGACTTCCATGGAATATTAAAAGAGGAACGAACACATATGGCCTTTAATTCTCACTCTCAGTATTACACTGCTGTTCAAAAAGACAAACCTCCAAGACACAGCCTACAAAGTCTGACAAACAACTGACACCATGTTGTAGTTCTGAGCACTAATGTAAACTCAAAAGCCAAATACAGCAACTACTAACCAGCGGAAGCACTAACAGCAGAAGCACAACTCTTCATTGTTAGACACTGAAGAAAGACATCGCACTGCACCAATGTCACCACAGCTCAGTACACGGATAGCTGTTAGCTACATTCTACTCGGTACCAATCTCAGTATTGCACATCCGGGACATTTAATTAGGCCATTTAGAAGTTCGGATCACTTGTGTGTGCAGACACAGTCATTAACTACTAATTGCTGTTTGGCAGCGGTCTGAGGGACGGGCCACTCATACAAAGGCATGCTCAGTTCTGGCACATGAAGAGAGCCGACTGTTCTCTGTCAAACTCCGGCACCAACTGGTTCTAAACTGGGTTCAGGACACATTATATCCTATTCATGCTGAAGGACAAACAAGCACTCTATCCTAAACAGAGACTTATGTCTCAGTCCGTAAAAGTAGCTGATTCAGGCAAACTGAGGACACTCTGGCCACTGTTCTGTGAAGCATGATGAGATTTAAAGATGTTGTATTGTACGTATGATTGATTGATAACAGTTCTGATAATTAGGGCTGCCCCCTCTAAGTCAATTAGCCAACTAATCGGTCGATTTAGTCCTAGTCGACTAAGATTTCTTCAGGAGATTAGTATTTGTTTGTGCTTTTTCATGATGGATGACTTGTTTCCTAGAAAAATATGAACACATCTCTGGTAAAGACAATAATTAGAATGGTGCTTTTGTGTGATTGTTTGAAGAGAAACTTAGGCATTATTATTAGTTTTACAGATCTGTCGATTAAATCAACTAATTGATGAGACAACAAAATTGTATGAGCGTTAGTCGACTAACAATTTCTTTGGCCCTACTGATACTCTAATGTTTATGTCAAATCAACAAGTATTTTGTTGTGCATTGATGTAATTAATTAATTAATTAACATTAGCATGTCACCGGCTTTTTCGAGTTACTAAAGCTGAATCTTTCGGAAAAACATTTTGGCAAGTCTCTATACATTATGAAGCTTCAAAATATGTGATTCAAATTATACGGTACTCATTTGTGACATAAAACAAAGCCCTTTTGTGTGCAAAACTTTTGTTGGAGATAAAAACATATAATTATCTGTCAGGTTGATGAAGGAAACGTGACTAAAGAATCTGCCTACCACCGTTCTGTGACTCCTCGCTTATCTCCTCCTTGAGATATTCCAGGAGGCCATCGAAGATTTCCAGAAGGTTCTTGATAGACTCTTTGTCGCCTCCGACAACATTTTCTCCTGCAAACACACAGCCATTATTATTATTCTCAGGGCTCATCTGTTTTATTGCTGAAGAACATTTGTCCTGCAATTGTCCTCATGCTTCTGCAGCCCCCTTCATGAAATTAGGAAAACGGGCCATGCAGCCCAAAATAAAGATACTTGACGGGGAAATTCCGATCTCAAGTCAATCCATGTTTGAATTTACGTAGCAGTTTATCATAGTTGCTCTTCCCTTATAGATACACATGACTTAATGTTGTTGTAAAGAGTGATCGTGTTCATCATACCTGTGATGTGTGAGAGACTGATCTGGAGGTAATCCAGGGAAAGTGAATCAATCACAGACTGAACGTTATGGACATTATCCTCTTGACTGCATGGCGCTGCAATGTAATCTGAACAAATACAAACGCAGCAACGTGAATAACCAAAGCATGTACGAGACCACGGAAATGCACAACAATGCCAAGGGCCACATGCATTCACACACTTCCTTGAACACAAGAGTGCCTTCACTTTAAGTCTTTCTCGAACATAACAATGTATTAAAGAGCTCAGCGACATTAACAGTCGCATGATTGCATGTTTAATGGTCTTAGGAAACATTCCTGATACACTAAGCACACTCGATCATGCTCTAAAGTAAAACCTCACGGCTTGTTAACCGCCAGTGGTTTTGGCCCTTTGATTTGAATATTAATGACCTTGTTAGGGCTAGAAATTATGGTTGTTTTCATCATTAATTACTCTGCTGACAATTTGCTGAATTAATTAATCATGTGGTTATTTTGTCAGTTTGACCAGCAATACTAAATCTGTAGATACTCAGCTTATTATCGCATTTGACAAAGAAAAACAGCAAATCATCACAACGGAGAAGTTGGAAATAGAGAATATTTGCCGATTTTACTTTAAAAATAATAACCTACACAATGACTTATTGAAATGGATGCCTACCATGTTTCTGTTGATCTACGTATCGGTTGATCAACCAACTGTTTGGCTGGTCTGAATCTTACCTGGAACTTTCTCCCCCAAGATGTTTTCATACAGAGCAATGAAGACATTTGCATCACAGTCCGTCAGTTTCCTCAGCCTCAGCTTTATGGGACACTTGCCGAGTAGATCATTTGCCACATCTACCCAATCTGTGGAAGAATGCAACAGTCTTCAGAATCATCTAAAAGAGTGAAGTCATCATTTGACTTCAATACCTAGAAAGCATTTCTACAGAATAATAAAAATAGAGAGGCATGGAATGGTTAAACAGAACACTTTCTTAATAAAGAAGACATCAGTGTATCATGAAGAAAGATTTGACTTCTGGAGCTCATTATGGAGACATTCACTGTGTGTTAACGTCTCTCACCAGGTTCAGTACCTCCTCTAGGGGTGATAATGGTCACTCATGATGCTCATCCGCGGCAAACTTAAGTTTGAGAGCGGGGAGTCATCTCTCCCCGTCTCACACACACAATAACTACACTTTATATTTCAACGTAACGTTATGTATTGTACCTTATTTGTGTTGTATGTTTCTCGAGTCTGCCAATAAAGATGAATTGAACTAGCTAGCTTCCGTTAAAGACTACCGGTGAATGTCATAGTTCTCAACAAATAACACCGGTGGCCATGGGTTTGGGATGTTAAAACAACAGACTATTGTCTACAGTTCATTGCCTGCTTTAAATCCCCTCTGACGTGTTTCACCATAACTTCACCGGTTGAGTTCACTCAAAAGTAGCCAGCTAACGTTGCTACTTCAGCGTGCTAACGGGAACATCATCAGATAACGTTAAACTGAGAGCTCCAGTCAATCTTTAAATTAAAAAGTATATCTAAAGTGTAGCCCGTGTATGTTTTTGTGATGACAGGCTCGGTGACAGCAGCAGAGCTACAATAACCTGAACGTTAGCTGAAAGTTAGTGTTGACGTTACGTGTCGCTAGCTTTCTCCGACGGGTCTGGAGCACGGTCTCGGTGCCTCACCTCTCTCTCCCTCCTGGGTTCCCATGAAACAGCTGTCGACGAGAGGCAGCTGGAGCTCAAAATCTACGGACTAAGTGAGCTGGAAAAGAGTCTCGTGTAACCCGGAGCCCCGACCTCACAACTGGGGTCAGTTCTGGTGTTTGTTGTGGGTTTCTGGGAGAAGGAACTACCGTCTCTCGTTTAAAATTGAAGTCTTGTTTGATTGGACGTTAGGCTCGTTCTTTGTTTCCGGGTGTTCCCTTTGGTGAGCGCGTACCGCCCTCTGCTGGTTAGTGTGTATAACGCAGGCAAAAGGCCGCATTTTAGCCTCCTTTAATCAAGTCAATTGACAATATCAAAGCTGAAAATACAAGCTGAGCATCACATTTCTCACTTCTTGTCCCCAATACTTCCTCACTCACTGACTAACCTATGAAATAAAAAGCTTACAAGACGCATTCAAATCTACCTTGAGAGATATGTAGGTGAGAAATTGAACTGCCACAGTGTGGACAGTTTCTCCAGAATAAACATCTATTTCTCAATAGCAGAAGTGAAGACTGGACTTTAGAGAACGTTCACACACTACTGTGTGAGATATAGATCTGTTTTTGAGGAACTAAAAAGTGCAGGATGTCAGTTATTTTTTTCTTTGACCATTTAAGGTGAAGAGAGTTCAATTTAAAGAGGTAAAGAAATTAGATCATCAAAACGTATAAGCAAAATGTTTTTTATTTTTACGATGAATTGAATTCAGTATTAATTTGGACCACATCTTCACAGTGTTTTCTATATTATTTTTTATTTCTTATTTGCAATCAACCACAATAGTATAGATTCAAAATGGGAATTCACATTTGATTTATACAGTCACCTTCAAAAGGTAGCCAGTCGCCTCTAAATGCCAATTATGTACCCTACAGTGTACACAGCCGACTGCTACAGGCTTTTTTTACAGTATATGTTTTAGAAAAACAACCATGATTTAATTGTTATGGTTATTACTTGTTATTATTTACACATGTGCTTTTCCTTGACATGTCAAAACTAAATGGAATTCAGCCATCATTAATGTTAATATTCACATCCGTGCTTTTATTACGGTGACGTGTTTGTGTCTATGATGAGCACATTCAAATTCCTTGTGTACAGTAAAATAAAAACATTACCAAACATAACTGAAATATAATCAATTTCAGCCACCCTCCATCTCGGTGAGCATTGATCTGATCTCACACTTTTTCTCTCGTGTCTCTGACAGGCATATTTTACTTTACACACCTGCTCTTCTTTGCTGTTGATGATCATCAGGTCTGCACCTCTTTGCAGACAGTCATCTCTGCTTTCCTGCCAAGATTTCTCAGAAGAAGAAATGTAATAGAAACTGGGACGTAAATAGACCCAGCCTTCTTGTAAATAGCGATCTGTTATGGATAACAACAAAGACAACCTTAATATCTCTCTCTTGCCAGGAGTTGTGATTAGATTCGAGGTAGTGATCTGCTGAGGATTTCACAAAATGTTAAAAAAAAGGGCTTATTTGCATTTGTTCATCATAAATAAAACACTGCGATTATAACTCTGGATTTATCTATGATCACAGTCCTTCTGCCCACAATTAAACCTTCAACTATCAACCTATAATAAATGCTGTAATATCATAAGAGCCATTGTGTCATAAAATAATCAATTTGCAATTATTTGCAAACTATCAGAGCATGTTTGGCCTAAAGCACATCAGTTTAAACAACATAGACCTGTTGGGTGTCTCCTGCTTTTAACCAGGAGTTTCTGACAATTCTATTCCTCACCTTTCTGAAATGTATATGCAACAACAGCTAACCTGTCTGAAACACATGACACAATGGCCAACATCTTGTTGTTAAACCACACTTCGTGGACTTCCTCAGCAGAGGAAGCCCAGCAGTTGTAACGGAGGTAGTTCAGTTGTTATCACGCAGTTTGTTTGTAATATGGGTGTGAAACGGTTATCCCTGTCACCTGTTCAAAGAGGGTATCGGTCGGTCGGATGTGGGTGTCCTTGATCTTTCTTCAGCCAATCACTGACTCCCGGTTATTGGCCTCTGGACCTCTTTCCAGGCGACACAGTGACCCTTTTTTTGCTGTTGAGAGTAGTTGAGAGCAAATGATGATTGATGGGATCTCTGTGTAACAGCGATTTACAACAGCCAGCAATTCCACAGCAGTTTCCTCAGTACTAAGTTCTCTGTTTACCTTGAGGGTCTCTCTGGGGACTTTTTCCTTTTGGGCAGGGGTTTTTGGAACTGATCTCTTTCTTTAGTCAGGTTGGTGTAACTGGTTTGTAACAGGACCATCTCCATTTCCTGCTCAGAGTTGCCTTTGCTGTCTGTGTTTGACACATAAACAGACAAATAAAGAGACACTGTCAACCAGTATTTTCATCTCAGGGCTTCATCAGCATGCTAACAAAATACTCACACAGACAAACTGAAGTTATGAGTCCAGACACCTTCAACACCTGAAGGGTCAATGCAACATTTGTCATTTGCTTGTTTGTATTCCAGTGTCAAATAAGATAAAGTCAAGTCAGCCTTTGCATTGTCGCTTCTCATAATACAACACACCAGAATTCAAAAGGATGCCTGGATACAGTAGTGTTCACACAAGTAGGGGGATTTGTGTTGGTGTTTAATGATGGTCAAATGAGCAAAAGTCACCCCTTGAAATGCAACTATGCAAAAGCATGGAACCTATATTTTTATTGTATGAGTTGACATAATTTATATTCAAGTATACAATTTCATATGTGTTTGAATTTTCTTCATGCACTGGGTGTTAATAGTCCCTTGCTGCTTGACTCTTTCAACATTATTGTCTCTCACACACATCTTTTGGTTGTTATATTCCTTTAAGACAAGTTTTTTTTTCTTTTCTTTTCATTTCTGTATGTGTGTGCCCATGTGTACATTTTTTTTACATGTAATGTATTTATTACCTGAGAATGCAGATCCACTTCTGTTTGGCGTGTGGATCAACACATTTCCATAAATATTTTCAGACATTATTCTGTCCCTTTCCATCTTGCTGGGATGTCCTGATGGTCCCTCTACATTCACATAGATATCCAGCAGTTCATCCATGATGTTCAGCTGGCCCTGTGGTGCCTGGAGCCATCAGAGTCTGCAGAGCATGCTTTTGAAATGCATCGTTCTGAACTGTGCACAGAATAACTCAGAGGCAGTTTCTGTTGATGATATCTTTCTCACATAATCAGGAAACTGACGGTGGTGTGAAATATTTTAGGTGATCAACTTTACCCAGTTGACCTATTAGTTGCAGCTGCGTGACGGGGCTTTCCATTTCGGTTTTTCCAAATATCTTGAATGTCAAATTTAAAACATCCATCATTCTATCTATTTGTAGACTGAAAGACAGACATGGTCAGAAGGCCAGTATTCAGCTGCAGCACTGACTTCATTAATCATTAATCATTTGTCCGTCATTGCACCATAATGTAATGGTAAATAATCTTCTGCTTTTCCACACAACCAGGTAAACTGTTACCCAAGTTAAAAAAAGTGAACTCTGTTGAAGTATAGTTTCATAAAGGCTGTCAGTGCATTTTTGTTTTCAATTAAAAGCCCAAACTCTTGGAGATGTACCACATCCGAATCATTCCATGATGGCTTATTGATTCATTTCAGTCGCAAAACTTCATTAGCCATTTATTGTCCCAGAGGCTAAATTAGATTTTTTTTAGTATTCCTCTTCTCCCCTTGATTAATGCCAGGGAATCATCTCACTCACATTAGAAGACAAATGGTTTATTATTAGACGTGGACATGTTGGTAAATTAATTAGTTATCCGTTGGATGGTCAGGTGGTGTTCAACATACATCAAGCTCAATTGTTATTGACCCCACAAAGACATGGGAACAGCTCAGGTTGCTCCATATATTGCTTTCACTTTTCACAGGCAATTTACAGACAAATAAGCTAGTGTAATGATTCAGTCAAATACAGCAGCACCGACACAAAATAAGGTATGCAGGTAATACTGTTATTAAAGGGCACCTTTAATGGAGTGCTTTAATTGGGGTTTTCTTGGAAACAACAAGCAAAAGTCATGTTTACATGCACTGAGAGTTTCATCGAGGTCTAACGCAATGCTCACACCAGTGACAAAAGCAGCAAAACAGTGTGACCAGCTGCATTATCGGCGAGGCGGCATTGAAGTGTTGCTCAAGCCCTCGTTGATGTAGTCATGTCATTAAGCACTGTGAACTGGCTGACAGGTCTTGTTTTTTTAGACGTAACGGAACTGGGTGAAACAAAAAGATATGATTGGTTGACGCTTCGTCACATCATTGGAGTGCTGAAAGAAAGTTGAGACCAGCTCTACTTTTTTTTGTAACGCGTCACGCCCCCCTATTCTATTGGAAATGACTCACTGTGTAGTGTGAACACAGCACAACAAATGTGTCGATTACATTTCCTTCCTCATAAGTCATTACATCATTCCTCCATCTAAAAGCCAGTTGTAACGTGTTGGTGGGAGTTTGGCAGATCAAACCTCCAACTTGCTTGTCTGCCCAATAAAACAAAACCCCAGTATAACTGTAAAGTCCTATTTACAACAGTGGATCATCATATCAATCAGTTTTGGACTGAGAACATTTATTGTGTGTTTTCATCACAGAATACAAGTAATACACAGCTTGACCCAAGAAGCAAGTTCTCATTGTTGGTATGACGAGTTTCATCCTCATACTGACCAAAGTGAATCAGTTCTCCCTTCAGCCCGTCAGTCTCCTCAGTCAGGTTTGTGCATCTCGCTTCTATGACTGAAAAGAGCAGAAACACTTCCATTAACACATCCCATTAAACCAACAATTTAGTCACATGCACAAGGACCAATTGTGTGGTTCAGCATCTTGCTCAAGGAGACTTTGTCAAGAGGGCAGGTTATGACAGTGTGTCACAGCTCTGCCCCTTCTCTCCTGTCTTTTTATTTCTCACTCACCTCACTTACCTATCAACTCATTCAGTGCACCTGTCTGCCTCCCTCATCCTCATCAGCCTAACTCCCTTCAAACACAGAAATATAATGAGGCGTTGCTATGTTATCATTTATCAACTAATCTAAAGATGGATATTTTGACAAACACTTATAAAACCGCTCAGAGAAAGTATCATATCTTGTCTACCTGTGCTTTTGTTAATTACCTAGGTTATTGATACAGATGTATTTAATGCTGATTATTTCATCTGATATTGATGTTTATGGTTAATTTGCATTAGTTGTAGGCCTATACATCATGTATTTACAAGTTATATTTGTGTCATTTAAGAACTAAACATACCTACATGGAAGAGCGAGCATGTGTTCATGATCATGAGGCAATAAATAATGACAATTGAAAAAATAAAGATGTTTGGTTTATTCTTATTGAACATTAAGCATAATTTATCTATCTCATTGATGTAATTGTCACACTTAAATCCTGATTTGAATGGTTAAACAGAAGAGGTCAAAGGGCCTCACAAGACAGACTTGAAGCTTCAGCAAAAAACAACCATGGGTTAAGGAAATTGCATAGACGTGTGGTAATGAGGTTGGATTTAAGAAGCATCAAATGCAGTTTGCATTACTAGACTAAAATGGTTTCACTCCGCTCAACCAGTTGATCAACCATAGGTCTCTCATAGGCGGCGTTGCAGTTCAGATTGCTGTGAATGCCTGCGCTCTCCAGGATATAGACAACCTCAGTCAACCAGACCTTCGACATATAGACCCTTCGTTTTCTTAATTACCTTGAACTCATAGGGAGGGATGAGCACCTCTTGCTCTTGTTTTCCAAGGTAGGGATAATGTTTCAGGAAAGCACCTGAACAGGTTTTAATTTCAAAGCAGGTCTTTTTACCAAAGCAGTACTGTGTTTTGTAAGAGCTGGAGGCAAAGAAACCAAACTGCATTATTTGATTGACATTGCCACTATACTGAGAATTGGTTCTACGGTAAGAAGTGTGACAGTTTTTATTATTGAGGATCTGTACAGCGGATGTCAGCCAGAAATGTAAGGAGTGAAATGGGAAGGAAGTTCTATATGTGCTCATGCCCTTCTGGATTTCATCATTAAACGTCCCATAAAACTTTGGATATTCAGCAGTATAAACACAGATTGCTTGCATGTGATCTTTAGTTAGAGCCTCATCCCCTTTATCTCTATTTTTGAGTCTCTTCTCAACAAAACGTTGTGCTTTTTTTCCAGACATCTGCAAATTTTCCAGTGTTCTCTTCTTTAAAGTATTTGTCCTTGATCATTGTCATTGTTTCGTTGCAGCCAAAGTACATGTCATCAACAGCCGTTTCAACCATGTTCATTTGGATGCCCAGGTTTGCCTCTGGTAGACTGACGATAAAACTGATCTAGAGGGGAGGGATGAACAAAATGACAGGAAAGTTCAAGAATTAGATGCAGGTTGTTGTACCACTGTACATGAGTGTCTGCGGAGAAAGCCGGGATATAGAAGAACTAAATGGATACAGATATTTGTTATATCCAAAGGTGAAATTTTACATTATCAAAATGGTGTGAAATAACCCTCAAGGCATCAATAACATCCTTGACAAAAAAGTCTTTCCACAGTTTGAGGGCCCACTCGCCACCAGACTAAACAGATGTTGCAACCTTACATCAAACCCCCTATCAGTATCCGTATGGGAGGGTGGTATAATCAGACAACAGTCGTCGCTTGTTGTACACAACCTGGACTTTCTTAAAAACTGTTTCATTTCTAAGATGGAACTGCATTTTATCCCTCTTGATCGTGTCAGACACCGTCATCATGTGTGCATTGGTATTCTGATTGGCTACAAAGGCGTGGACTAGACCAACCAGTGACTCGGGAGTGACAACTGACGCATTCTTTGCGTTTAATGTGACGCCCTTGCATTTCACCTGTGTTTTGCAGTGTCTCGTGTAGTAGGCATAACACTTTGGACCCCCCGACACAAACTCTGTGATGTAATCCTCCTCGGGGAGACCACACACATTCCCATCGTTTATTTCATCTGTCAGGTCCCCGAGATACGAGCCTAGGGGCGGAATCATGTCACCGGCCCTCGATGTGAAGACAATGCTGTCTGTCACAATACAACACTCGTTCCTGCAGCGTATCTAGCAGGTCGTAAAGCATCAGACGAGCATGGGCCGTTGTCATGGCTCCTATAAAGACATTTACATCTTTTATGCGTGGACCGAGGGCCTCCGCATGACGCCATTGCACCATGGCCACCTCATCGGAAATGAAACAGAACTGCCGCACATCGAAAGCATCGCTAAACATTAGCTGCATAAATCTGTCCAGGTCAGTGATCAGTTGACAGGAGGGCATATTGCTCCGCATGCTAAACTGACCTCACAAAGAGTTTAGGAGAAGTTTATTACAACTTCTCATCGCCTTGTTGACCTTGATTTTGCTAGGATCAAGTTTAATGCCCTCCTTTTCGAAATAGTCAGTGACATATTTCTCCTGATCTGCCGGGGTTTTGACATGTCCAGGGTAGCCCGAGGCCTCCTGTTTACATTTCAGAAATGTCTTGACATAACCCCAAAACAGAGTATCTGTTGTGTTGGGGAAATGCCACACTTCATCAATGGACACAATCTGATACCCCTTTTCCACCGCCTTCTGAAGCTCGAAAGAGACCCACACCCCCGACTGCTGTCTGTCTCTGTCACTGTGTACATGCACTGGTCTGGTTCAACTCTTCAGCACAATTGCTGCACAGAGGGAACATGAGTTTGTTGTGACAGCGGTAGGGCAGGACAGGATGGTACAAGCCTTTTGGGGGGAGCACAGTACACTTTATGAACCCCAAATAATTATTGATAGAATCGAAATCCTTAAAGATAATCATGCGGATGACCAACCGGGTACTGCTTTGTGGCCTGAACAGTCGGATACAGACTTGTAAAGTCGTAGTATCTGACTTTTTCATCATCACCCACCTGATGGTGCAACTTCATGGCATTTGTACGACCACCAAAGAGTGCATTTCTGGGGTCGAGGCGTTCACGCTTTCTGTATGTAGCCATAAATGTTTGTACAGCCTGACTGTGTTTCTTTAATGATGTCCACTCACACTCCCACATCACAACAATGCGCAGACGATATTGATTTTGCAATGTGTATATTTTGTCCATGTCTGTGCTGCCTGCCATAGGTGACTTTGGTGACCAGATTCAAATCAGACGGCATGTGACATCTGACACACCCGTGGAAAAAGCACCCGGCAATTTCGTAGCATGTGTCTGCCTCTGTGTTAATGCCATCGACATAGAACGGAGGAAACAGTTGCTCACCATGATTGAGAGCATGTCTGATCTCAACGTTCTCTGTGTGTGACACATATTCAAGCCACTGTATTGAGACATCAGAGTAGGCCTTGTTCTGAGCAATGTACGCACCTTCATATGTTAGCGCCACTGTGTCTGCGGGGAGAAACATTGTTTTGAACACGCCCATGCAACTAGAGGCCAGCGTTGTGAATGCAAACGGATCAGGTTGTGTACACTCCAGAAAAGACTCGCGATAAACGGTGCGTGCTCTGCGTAACACTTCTACGTCATTGATGCAGTAGCGTCTGATCTCTGTCTGAAAATCAAAGGTGTCGCCACGAACAGTGTCATACCAGCTCATGAAGGAAGTTTTGTCACTGTCACACATCTCGTTGTAGCCGTAGTTGGAGGGAGAGGGGTAACGACCTTTGTAGTATTCGTTTGCCCTAGTGTTGAATTTGTGGGGAAAATATCCTTTCACCAGATCAAAGCTGCCCAAAGCTGCCGGTGTTTTTGACAAGCGCATGGGCAGAAAGCTGAATGAATCAATCCACCGCTGTCTGAGTACTTTGTCATACATCAGTATAACCCGACTCCCTCTCATTGTCACCATAGGTGTAATCTGTTGTTTGACAAAGTACTCCAGCAGGATGTAATTGTCAAATCCGGACGCATTATGTGCGATGAATGTATAATCACTGTATTTGGGTTTTCTGTAACGCTTGACAAAAGCATCCACACAGTTCAATGTATTGAAACAGAACTTGTTTCCCTCTCAAAATCAAACTATGTACTTCACGTGCACATCTTTTTTTTTTCTCCAGAGGCTGAATAAAGCACGTGTGAACATCACTCTCCAACACCCGCTCACCACAGTGTGAACAAACAGGGAGTGCGCATTTGTGTGTCTTTTAACCAGCCTTGTACGTTTTACCACATGCCTCACAGTATTTCATAGCATCACGGGATGAGCCCATGGACAGCTTCTGGAAGCTTGTGTTGGTCAAAACAGTGTTGGGATTTACAGATTCGTTTACAATGGTCACATTTCTGTGTCTGGCCTGGGTGTGTATGGCATGCTGTGAAACAAACATTGCAGTGGTGTTTACAGTTATGGTATAGCCTAGTTTCATATGTTTGGTAACATGATCCACATACATAGGGTGCACTGAAAAAACCTGTCTGGTTTTCAATCAGGTAATAGTGGTCATTGTGCAAGTATAACCAGACGTGTTGTGTGTGGGGGGTGTCATGTGTCTGGAAACACTGCAGTCGTTTAAGGTCGCCCTTGTGGTGAAATATTATACTTTTTATCCCCAGATGTCTCAAATTTGGTGACATCAGCGAATGATACACTGTGCATGTGATCAAAGCCTTGAGCTGTGCAATATGGATGCGTATTCTAATTTGTCATGCTCGGTCATAGAGGCGTTGTTAAAATGTGCAAGACATGGAGAGAAACATAGATTGTGGCTGCCTTGATGTGTGGGGTTGTATAGAAAACAACATTTCTTAGTGAGTATCTCATCATATGGGATATTTCCCAGCCTAAGACGCCCTCCCCCGCTTCTATTTTGGGCTACCGTGACTATCAGTACCAAATCGTCGTCAGACACCGACTCATCATTACTCTGCAGGACCTGTGCAATTTGTTCCATAAATAGGTTTACATTGTATGCATCGTATGCACCACATTTAAAACACTGCCAGCAGGGGAATCATCTATGGCCTGAGTAATCACACCCGACAGGAGGCATCGCACCATGTTTGGGACTTGTTCAATGTCATTTAGGTTAATGCCTCTGAAATCAACATGTTGCCTCAGTTCAAAGGCATCAAACGAGGGTATTGTCCGTCTAAGAATAGGGTTATCAGAACACTCTGGGGGACCCGCGGGGGGCATTACCCCTCCATAATGAACAGTGACACCATTATTCGTCTCCGACACAATAAGCACCTCTGACCCCTCTGTTGATTCCACAGGGGCTTCCTCGGCTGCCCCATGGTGATCATTGGAGCCAACACACGTCTCTGCGGCCCCAGCATAACACATGTTGGGAATAACATAGCCTGACACGGGGCACCAATATGTTGGGAACGTAAAGGAGCGTGTTTGGTTATCAGCAAGTATGAAACTAAGCTATCAACATCAATGGAGTTATTAACATTAATAAGTTAATTAGTAATTACTAATAAGAACGGGGCACCACCCTGCGGACAGGGACCAATAACCAAACTATAACTAAGTCTCATAATTAGTGATCACTCACGATATTAACAGTCTGAATACTATTACACGTTTGGAGTGAGAGTGAAAGTTTAAGTTCGAGCACAGGCCACTACATCCAGTTATTATTACACACATATGCACAAGTAATCACAGAAGACTGCTCTTTAAAATATAACACAGTTTATTAAATCAAAATAATAAATGATCAAATCAAATAATATCAAAAACAAACACTATCATACAATTATATATCTAATACCTAAAGTAAAATGAATAAAGTGGGGTAAGGATATGCATATATATATATATGTACATGTATACAGTTGTGTGAAAAAGTGTTTGCCCCCTTCCTGATTTCTTATT